CGGGGACTCCTGCCCCATCCAACCTCCCCTGTTCCCTGACGGCCCCCCCAGGACCCCTGCCCCATCCACACACCCCCGCTCCCTGTTCCCTGACCGCCCCCAGACTCCTGCCACCCCATCCGACCCCTCCTCTCATTCCTGACGGCCCCCCTGGGACCCCTGCCCCATCCAACCACCCCTTCTCCCTGTCCCCGACTGCTCCCGGAACCCCTGCCCCTGACTGCCCCCGCCACCCCGTCCAACCCCCCCTCTCATTCCTGACTGCCTCCATTCAACCCCCTCTTCCCCCCCCAACCGCCCCGACCCCTATCCACACCCCCGCCCCCTGACCACCCCACGAACTCCCCTACCCTCTATCCAACCCCCCCTGCTCCATGCCCCCTTACCGTGCTGCCAGGAGTACCAGTGACTGGTGGCGCTACAGCCATGCCGCCCGGCTGGAGCCAGCCACGCCGCTGCCACCACGCAGCACAGAGACCGGGTCAGGCCAGGCTCTGCAGCTGCGCTGCCCCAGGAGCTCACAGCCCCGCCGCCCAGAGCATTGCGCTGGCAGCGGAGCGAGCGAGCTGAGGCTGCAGTGGAGGGGGAACAGCGGGGAGGGGCCGGGGCTAGCCTCCCAGGGCAGGAGCTCGGGGGCCGGGCACGACGGTCCCGTGGGCCGGATGTGGCCCACAGGCATAGTTTGCCCACCTCTGGGTTAGGAGGATGGGTCGTGGAATGGATATGTCCAACACATCTCGAAGAACAACTGTTACGGAACAGATTAGTGACCATTTTTTCTTCTTCCCACTCTAGCATCGTCTCTGGAGTCTTGAGCCACAGCATAGTGGGAGCCAAAAGTGAGGACCAGGTTGCCGCTATACAAGTGCCCGCAATTGGAAGTAGTGCCAGAAAGGGCACTGAGGCAGATTGAGACCTCATTGAATGAGTGATGACTCTGTTGGATGGAGCGACATTAGCCAAGTCATAGGTCATGCATATTCCAGATGTGATCCAGGAAAAATTCTCTAGGTGGAGACTGATTAACCTCTTACTCTGTCTGCAACTGATACAAACAGCTGGGAGGATTTACGAAAGTGTCTGATTCTGTCCAGGTAAAATGCTGTGACGTTCCCCTCGTGTTATCTGAACCGGTGATCTGCTAGGTCACTCTAATCCTCAACTCTGGGAGCCACCCTTACCCTGCTCTGCTGTGAACCCCACTCCCGGGCTGTTCACGCACAGCCTCTAGCATGTGAGCTGCTTCCAGCTACATGAGTGAGCACTTTTGGCCAGCCACAGTTTGGATTGTACAACCGAATGACACTAGCCAATATCTCCGGTCCCAGACACAATCCTAGGAACCTCCATCTTGCAGTGTCCAGTTATGCCTGCTGGACGCTGCAAGCTTATATGAGTTCGTCAATTTAACAAAGAAATTGATATGTACCAGGCTTGTTATACCAAGGGGAGTCTCTGGCATGCTTCAAACCAAATGCACTGCTTCAGGCAGAATAAACAAACAAATTTGTTAACTACAAAAGATAGATTTTAAATGATTATAAGTCAAAGCACAACAAGTCAGATATGCTCAAATGAAATAAAAGCAAAACGCATTCTAAGCTGATCTTAACACTTTCAGTACCCTTACAAAGTTAGATGCTCCTTACCACAGGCTGGCTGGTTGCCCTTCAGCCAGGCTCTCCCCTTTGATCATGCTTCAGTCACTTGGTGGTGGTGTCTGTAGATCAGAGGTGGGCAAACAATGCCCGCAGGCCACATCCAGCCTGCGGGACTGTTCTGCCTGGCCCCTGAGCTCCTGGCCCGGGAGGCTCGCCCCTGGCCCCTCGCCTGCTGTCCCCCCTCCCCCGCAGCTACGCTGCCACATGGGCAGCACTATGGGCGGCGGGGCTGCGAGCTCCTGGTGTAGCGCAGCTGCAGAGCCCGGCCTGAACTGGTGCTCTGAGATGCGCGGTGCGTGGCTGGCTCCAGCTGGGCGGCGCGGCTGCCTATCCTGGTGCAGCCACGCCACCAGCCACCGGTGCTCCATGCAGCGCGGTAAGGGGGCAGGGAGCAGGGGAGGGGGATTGGATAGAGGGCAGGGGAGTTAGGGGGGTGGTCAGGAGCCGAGGGTGTGGATAGGGGTCGGGGCAGTCAGAGGGCGGGGAACAGGGGGGTTGAATGGGGGCAGGGGTTGCGGGGGGGCAGTCAGGAAGGAGAGGAGGGGTTGGATGGGGCGGCGGGGGGCAGTCAAGGGTGGGGGTTCCGGGGGCGGTCAGGGAGAAGAGGTGGTTGGATGGGGCATGGGTCCCGGGGGGGCCGTCAGGAAGGAGAGGGGGGCTTGGATGGGGTGGCGGGGAGCAGTTAGGGGCAGGTGGTCCAGGGGCAGTCAGGAGACAGAGAGGAGGGGGGGTGGATGCGGCAGGGGTCCCGGGGGGACCGTCAGGGGGCGACGGATAGGGGGTGGGGGCCAGACCACGCCTGTTTTTTTGGGGAGGAACAGCCTCCCCTAACTGGCCCTCCATGCAATTTCTGAAACCCCATGCCGCCCTCAGGCCAAAAAGTTTGCCCACCCCTGCTGTAAATGGAGGTGGAAGAAAGAGAGAGCATAGCAAACGTTTCTCCTTTTTATCATGTCCTTTCTTCCCTCTTGGCTTTGCCCCCCCCACCCCTTCAGAGTTAGATGAGCATTACCTCATCGTAGACCCAAACTGACCATGGGAAGGGAGGTGACTCACTCGAGAGTCCAACAGATCCTTTGTTGCTGCCTAGTCCAGTGTCCTTAGTTTCTGTGAGGCTGGGCTGGGTTTGTCCCATACATGCCCTGATGAGGTGTGAACTGCCCCTCTGCTCCTGGAGAGTTTTTGCCTGGGCTTGTTTTAAGCCATGAGGACACAGTTTCTGCCTCATAACTATATACATGAAATTACAACCTATAACATCACTATAAAAAACAATGCTCAGTGCATCATGAGCCTTCCAAAGACACCCGACATAACAAACTTTGCATTGGATACCACACAATCATATTATAAGGATGAACATGGGGGTGCAGGTGCTCCCCCAAGGTACAGAGCATCACAAATGCCAATGCTCTTCTGACATCGAATGTACACAAACGCTCTTCCTCCCTGGTCATGTGTGGTTTGGGTAGAATTCAGGCAAATAAATTGGCTGATTGATATGGAAAGAGGAAACCACCTTTGGGATGAACTTTTGATGAGGATGCAGGTAAAACTTGTCCTTAAAAAAAGATTGTACATGGAGACCCTGACATTAATGCCCACAGCTCCCCTACTCTTCAGGCCAAGGTAATGTCCACCAGAAATACCACCTTCATTGATAGATGCAACAGCAAGTAGGTAGCCAACGGTTCAAACAGGGGACCCATAAGTCTTGACAATAGTAAGTTTAGATCCCACAGAGGAACGGGGTCTTGCATTTGAGGGTATAATTTGATTAAGCCCTTTAAAAATCGTATGGACATATCATTGGAGAAAACAGAGTGATTGTCTACTTTAGAATGGAACGCTGAAATAGCAGCCAGATGTATTTTGATGGAACTAACCACCAAATCTTCGTATTTCAGGTATAGTAAGTAGTCCAGAATATGTTGAACTGAAGAACTGGTTGGCGATACCCTTTACTGCCAAGACCAGGTGAAAAAATGCCTCAATTTAGCAAGGTAAGTTCTTGTAGAAGACGTTCTAATATTTAGTAGGATCTTTTGAACAAGCCTGCTCTTGACTGTCTAGCCATGGAGCATTCATGCAGTTGACTGAAGGGATTGTAGGCTTAGTTGGGGTAGGCAACCGTGATCCTGGGAGATTAGCTCTGAATCTAGTGTAAATGAAATTGGAGGTTTCACTGACAGCACCAGGAGAGTGGAGAACCAGCGCTGATGGGCCCCGCTGGGCTACAAGTATGAACTCTAGCCTGGTTCTGTTTTCTCTTTAGTAATACCCCTTTGCATGTGTCATACAGGATGGGGAATTTTCCTGTGTGAGAACTGGTGTAAGAGAGTAGCTGATCCAGACCCACCAGAAAGGTGCAACAAAGAAGAGGAGTGAAAACCACCTTACCATATCCTGCCAAGTTGCAAAAGTGATATAAGGTCAGCAGTACTGTTTGAGGAACCCACTAGAGGGAAAACCTTGCTTACCACAGCAGAGTGGGGCCTCTGACACAACTGAACTCTAAATAGGGAACTGCTCTACAGTTTTCTGCAGCATGTGGTATGGGCCCAACTATTCTTGCAATAGCTAGACACTGCAGTTACCATACAAGATGGTGACCGGGTTTGAATTCTTACTTGGAGTTACCTTTTCTTCTCACTGATAGATACACTGAGAAGTTAACTCTCTTATTATTGCATGAAAATGTGTAATTATTGCTTCAATTTCTTTGGAATATACAATACCCTGAAATTAGCACAGAAACAAAATGCAGTATTATAAGAAAGGTGTTACAAGGCACGCCACACTTGTATACCATCAATGTAATATTGAGATCTGCAGTTTGAGTCACTGTACTTGAAGTATGATTAGTGTATAGTCCAGGGGACACAAATTAAAGTTTATCCTTTTTTGATTTGTGGCAAGGTGTTTCTCTTTTGTATTGCTGATAATTACAATCAATGAACAGGAGCATAGGATTTACCATATCAGATCAAGCCAGTGTCTATTCAGTTTCTTGCCTCTCACAATGGCATCAGAGATGCTAGTGCACATGGCTAATTATGCATCAGCGATACTACAGAGGAAAATACTATAGAACTGGATACTGAAAATTTCTTTGTGGCCCCTAGTAAAGGTAGTCGTTTGGTTAACATGGGTGACATTCCCCCTTAAATGATGAAAGTTACAAAGAAATTTAAGAATGTTTTTGAACTCCGACTATATTTTATGCTAAACTTGATAAACCCAGTCCCATGTGCTCCCGAATATCAACAAGAGACTGCAAGTGATAGTGGGGATTTGCGTCAGTATCAAGCTTCAGCTGTGATAAAATGGATCTCCTACCTTCAGACAGCGACAAGTCATCAGCTGGAGACACCAGGTCTGCCTGGATATCAAGGCCATTGCTCAGCCGTGTGGTAATCTGATTTGTCAAGATAACCTGCAAACAGGAGGAAAAATGAATTATTATAGCTACTGGAGGACAGGTAGCAGCCCAGATGAGAACTAGAACATACAAAGACAGACAGACAACTCCACACTTTGACCTTTATCAAGTTCATTTGAAGCTACTTGCAATAACTCATCAAAGGGATATTATAAAAAGCACAACAAACTGAGGAGACTTTTAAAGTTAGTCAAAGACAAAATATTACCCACTGCCTTTTTTCAAGAGCGACTGTAATGGGGTCCTGCCCCCAGAGGCAGCCCCCCGTGCATAGAAGTGGCATTGCAGGGATTCTATTGCCTGTCATTCTGTGATCCAGCCAGGTCACCTTTCAAGTTCAGCCACCCTTCAGGGTAACAAAAGTCCAACTGAAAATCCAAACAAATGATCCTCCCCCCGCTCTTGGGCTATGCTGAAGTTCCCTGCTCTTCACCCTTACTCCTGAACCCTGCAGAGTTCTTCTTTGCTCCTGCAGCTGAGCATTGCCTCCTAAGACTCTCCCCTTGGAGGCTCTTTTCCTCGTAGTAGGCATCCCACTGCCACCCTATATATTTGCATGTGGCCTCTGCACTCCCTATTTCTGACTGAGACCAGGAGAATAAGTGCTGAAATACAGCACCATGAGAAAAGCTATTGTCGTCATATTTCCACATTGACCAGAGGTAGGCAGCACTACAGATCTCACAAGGTAGCCTGTTTTCATAAGGTTTCCTGGAATGTTTTACTGATTCAAGAGGTTTCATTAATAATAATTAATAATAATAAAACTTAGCACTTATCTAGTACTATACAAATACTAATTCCTTACTGAGGGGATGAACCATTAGCAGTATAAATTCAAAGCTCAGTTATTTTTTTCCAATGAGAGATAGAAACAAACTAGTACAAACATATAATGCCAACTATACAGGGAGACTGAGTGGGTAAGTGTGGATCTATTGCAGTGTAATCATTTGGTGGTAATGTAAGTGATTACCATTTCCCCAGAATTACCGATAATTGATCCCCACTCTTGGAGACTAAGAAAAGCTATAGGCATGGGTCTAATCTGCTAATAGTTGCACACGTAAGTAACCCGACTCCATGCATACTCCCATTGAAGTTACTTGACCAGAGCTTCAGCTCTACCTGACACAGTGAAGGAAGGCACAAAGGTGGCCTAAAGGCTGCTCTAAGTTGCACCCAGGTGCAATGGCCCCCATGAGCCTCTTCTGGCAGATGGGGATCACCATAGGGCAATGACGCCACCACAACAACAACATGCTCCCTGGACCGAGTACTAAGAGGTGGATTGGCAAAGAGATGGCTCCTTACACTAGGGGAATTCCCAGATAGCCAGTTACATCAGCATTCTGACTGCTTTGTATCACCTGAATGGCATCCAGCAAAATGCAAAGAGGGGACTGTGGATCTTCTCCAATAGGAATAATCATGAAAGTTATGCCTGTGTGTTTGCAGGACTGGGTGTTAAGGCTGTGACAAAGTGAGGTTTTCCCCTTGTTATGTTGTATGTGAGCATATGTGAGTCTTACTGTTTTGCATGAATACTGTGCATGCCTCAGTTTCCCTGTGTATTGAACCAATGCCTAGGTGGTGGGAATAAGAGTGTGTTACTTTTGCTGAGACCCTCAGGGGCTGGTGAGGCTGCTCCAGCTGCCTGCACATAAGCTATGGATAGTGTCCTTTGTAACCTGGACTTGCTGCGGGAAGCGCACAGTGTGAAAAGGGATACTGAATGCTCTGAGGTCAGACCCAGGAAGGCCGAAACTATGTAAGCTTCTTGCCCTGGTGACAGTGTGAGGCATGCTACACCAGAGTCCTGACTGGCTTCATACAGAGCAGCTCCAGAGCATCGGCCTGGTGCCTCTGTGACAGGCTCATCGTGAAAGTTTATTACAAAAGAGAAACCCCAGAATTCAGGTTTTCAAGTAACAATCTGGTACACGGCACTAATGTCACTATCATCACAAGAACCTCAGCACAGAGCGTGTACCTCAGATACCAAGAGAAAATAAGCTATTCAAGGGGGTGGAAGAGTCAGGCGCCTAGAAACCAGTTTTGTGGTTATAATAGGACAAACCTCGATTCAAATGATAAGGTAGAGCCCAAGGCACAAGCCTGATAGAAGCTTATAGAAAACTCTGAGTAAACAGAGGCAGATGTAAAGGGAGGGATAGAATAGATTTCACACCAACATTATACAGTTTGAAAGGGAAACTGCAATGATTAGTTGTAATACCTTAAATTAAATAAATATTTGCTATATGTATATATGTATTCTGGTGTGGTACGATGTTTTTATTGGCACAAGTTTGCACTGACCACATTACTCATAAGTTTCAAAGGCACCCATGAGTGATGCAGTCAACCCAAACCTGGGCCAAGATAAACAAAATATGATGACACAGTATAAAGTTTATGTCATACAACTGAGAGAAAAGCTACTGTATTTAAGATTTTTTTTTAAAAAACCTAGAGGTACCATATTTCATATCCCTCCCTCCCCCTTCCAACGGACTTTACGGGCTTCAAACTGAGAGAAAACTAGAAATTGCATAACTGGACTCTGTACCTTTCAGGTTGGTCATTTCTCCCCATGTCAGGGAATCTTGTGGCACTGGTTTGGATGGAGGATTGTAATCCTCTTCACCCTTCGCTTTAAAAAACCAGCCATACCTCTGATTCTTATCTTCTATGGGACTAGAGTGCACTTTCTCTCTGAATAGATCATCAGGGATCATTCCCTATTTAAGCGTCTGTAAAGTGATTGTAAAAATGGCACATTTTTACTCAGCTACTCTGGCCTTGATTCAGGATGACAACTAAGCATGTGCTCAAGTTCCACTGACTTCAGTGGTAGTTGAGCAAGTGCTTAAATAGTGCCCTGAGTAAGGATGCTTTTTGAAACTGGAGCCCCAGAAAGCTTATTTCTGTGAACAAAATAAAGTGACACTATTCTTTACCCCTCTTGGCCCAACAGAGCTGGGAGAGAGAGCTGGATTCTACTCTAGTTCAAGCATAAATTAACAGAATTGGTAATTAGGTACCAAATGTAGCGCCAAATTATGCTTCAGTTACACTTGTGCAACTCCATTGCCTGAAACGTCTACCCTCAGTTATAGCTGTGTATCTCCAATGTTATCAACCAGTAGTACAATTCTGGGTCCCCAGCTTCCCCAGTTGAGCCTGATTTTCAAGGCTGTTGAGTACCCTCAGCTCTCCTTGGCTTACATTGGAATTGTGGGTGCTCAGCAAAGGGTGGCAACCAGGCCCAAAGTGTCTCAGGCTGGGCAGCAAAAAAAATGAGGACATTTCTGAAAATGCAGGGCTTCAAATATAGACTCACGAGTTTAATACAAAATTCTAAATAATGTACCCATATATAACTATTTACTGGATATAGTTAGAATTTTTTACATTTCTAAAATAGGATTTTGGTACAACAGAACATCCCATTTGTAAATAGCAGCAACACATGAGGCCCCACATCTCCCAGGGTCCCTCAGCATACAGGCACATCTAATTCACCAGTCAGAATGCCACCCCCACTTTACTCTGGTGTCAGCAGGCCACAAGTATTAAATTCCTTCAATGTCTTCGTCACCAGCTTTAAAAGTGCACTTCATCTTTACCTCCTGATCCATATAAATGGCTCACCAGCAGCTGCTGAGCCTCACAAACAGGTGCGTGAGGGAGTCACCACAGCCTGAGAGCAAGAAGAGATTGAGATAGACTAAGGAAGGGTGCTGATACATGGCCATGCGATTTCCCGGTGGGGTGTAGCACTTACAGGTAGGGAGGGACACACATAGTTCTTCAGCCAGGTCCCACAAAACCTAGTGCTGGCCTGACTTTAAGGTCCAATATCTCACAAATCACCAGGGATATATATAAGGGCTGTATACACACAGAAAGCTGGAAAGGTCAGGATATCCATTTTTCATCTGTTATATCTCTTGCCTGAAAGATGTCATCTCTAATTATGCAGTGCTTCCTAACAACATGCTGGAGCATTGATCCAGAACTTATTTAGTGGGGGGAGGTGCCCCCCACTAAATAAGTCGAGTCACCATGCAACGTTCTGAAATTTTCCTTGGAGATCTCCCATCGAAATATTGACCATATTTTACTCTGTTTAGTTCATGAGACTTGCCAGGATCACAGCCCAAGTGGGTAAAGAAAGAGTCAGTCCCTTCTGTTGTGGGCTCTCCTAACACATAATGGACTTCAGATCATGCAGCCCTGGCTTCAATTTAAGAGGCACAACTCAAATTACTAGTCCATTATCTTCCAACAGAGCTTTCAACAGTGAGAATTCTGTTATGCAACATTTTAACGCATGAGAGATCCTATTCTCTGGTATCAATTAACCCAACAAAGCTCTCTCTCATTCTTATTAGAGTAATCATTACAGAGCAAGGGAACAGGAAACACCACCTTCCCTCCTTCATCCCCAGCTAACCCCAAACATCTGCAATAGGTGATGGGTTGTGTTATAGTTTTCTGTTCCCTGTTCATGGTAAAATCAATATGAGGGGCTTCCCCAGCCAATGACTGTACATGAATAGAAAACACCCTCTGCAACTAAAACTAAACTAAAAAGGTCAGTTGGATAGGTCAATGCTGCTGGAAATTTGTCTCACTTTCCTGCTGAGTTCAGTGAACCACTGCCCCTTAACCTTTGAGCATGGCCAATTTTGACCAGTATGGCTAACAGTTTAACAAGTGAAAATTTGCAGTTCAGAGGCTGCAAAACATGATAAGATTGCAAATACTGTTGAAAAGTTTATTTAGATCTATTCAAATGTCAAAACCATTTATTGGAAAAGTTTAAACTTCTTAATATCTTAAAATACTTTGCAATTAGTTTCTCCCATAAGAAAGCTAAGTATTAGTAGCAGCATATTAGCATTAGAGTCTAAGCTCCTTGGGGCATGATCCACATCTTCCTTCCTGCTGTATCTGTAAAGCACTATGAACAACTAAGGTGTTAC